TAACTGGTCCACTTTGCAACTTTGTACCTTATTAGGGATAAAGCATGTGAAGCCTTGCACTGTTACCAAGGATACGAAGTTCATGGGGTCAAAGAGGAACAAGGGAAAAAGGAAAAAAGGATCCATGAGCAGGGTCAGGCTCAGGAACTACTCACCAAAGACGGTGGCTTGTATGAGTATCTGGCCGGCATCCGTGGGCAGGTTGATCATCTCTCATTCAAAAATTTGGAATCTAAAATGCTCCAAAATCTGAAACATGTCTTATCCCAAGAATTTTGGATTAGGGAAGCTCAGCTTGTGTGAACTTTTTTCTATTTGGTGCCCTAGAGTAAGTACCCTCTTTGAGAAACCAAAGGCATGATCTCAGGCTCAACAATATCTGCTATGGTTTGGATCTGCAATGTCCTTCACAGGCTCATGTGTTAAGGGTTTGGTCCCCAGCTTGGTACTGTTGGGAGGTGGGAAAGTTTAATAGGTGGGGCTAGTTACTGGGGGTGTGCCCTTGAAGGAGATATTGGGACCCCTGCCTCTTCCTACCTCTCTCTTTTATGCCAGCTGTGAGGTAAAGTTCTGCTCTGCTTCATGCCCCTCCATGATACATGCCTCACCAATGGCTCCACCCCAGCATAGACTGAAACTTCCAACACTGTGACTTTCTTCTTTATAAATTTATTATCATCTTAGGTAATCTGTTACAGTAACAGAAAGCTGACAATCACAGTTTTCATGTGCTTTTTTTCTTTTTTTTTTCATGTTGTTGCCTTAATTTTATCAACTGGATTTCTTTTCTTTGTTGTTGTTGTTCATTTATTCACATGTGCATACATTTTTTTGGGTCATTTCTCCACCCTGTCTCCCTCCCATACCCTCTCCCCTCTCCCCCCCTCAGTTCCAGGCAGGTCCTGTTCTGCCCTTATCACTAATTTTGTTGAAGAAAAGACATAAGCATAATAAGGAAGACAAAGCGTTTTTGCTAGTTGAGTTAAGGATAGCTATACAGAGAGATTCCTAACATTGCTTTCATGTACCCATGTGTTACGACCCATGTTAATTCAACTCTAACTGATCTTTACATTGGTTCCTGATCCCCTGCTCATGATAGCCTGTCATTTTAAGGTTTCTGTATTAGTTCCTCTGGAGTGGGGGATGCTAAAGGAGTTCACGTGCGTTTATGTTAACTTGACAAGAGGCTGACTGAAATTCAGCTCTGTATTGAGACTTTTGGTTGAACCAAGTATTTGTTCACATTTCCATCTTTAGTTTTGTTTTTGTTTTCTAAGTGAGGAACTGAAATAAAAGATAAACTTGGGCAGAGTCTATTGCATTTCTAAAAGTTCAGTTCATTTGTAAGTCACTCATAGGTAACAATATACATACATATGGTGAGGTACTTGAAGAAAATGCTTTTGGAACATTACAAATTGCTATTGTTTAAGTACATCATTTTGCTTATTGGGCATTATGCTCTTGAAGACTGACACTGCTGTAATCTTGTTCAGAAAACAGCACTTTGGAGCAGCACATGGTCTTCCACCATATGTCATGCCCTACATCCACATGCGTGAAGAGAAGACGGAGCACAATAGGCAGAGTTTGACTCATTGCGCATGTCTCTCCCTCTACAGGGAGACAGATTTCCAACTGCATAGCTTCACCTCTATGGACAGATAGCAGATAATGTAGCAGTGTTACAAAGAATAAAAAAGAACATTTAAAAACATCCATAAAACTTGATATCTGGTCAGCAACAAGGAATGGCATGATAAGCTATGGGACATTAATAAAATGGTGTATTACAAAATTGTTAAGTGATCATTGAGAATACTATGTAAAAAATGCTTAGGATATATTTAAAGGAGAAAAGAAAAAAAAGTATTCTAATATACTATGTATACTGCAAGTGCATGTGGAGGAGGTCTGGCAGATGAGATGCCAAAACAGGATACAGTAGTTCTGTTAGAATACTGGGATTGTGGGGTCTCAAAAATATGTCCTTTAATGTGATAAAAACAATATTGCAACAATAACAGCAAGTTCATCAACTAAGTGATGCTGTGGGTACAGAGGGGTTGATATTAACAGATAAATAGAGATCGGATCTTACAAAGGAGAAAAAATATTTTAAAAGAATGAATCTCTGTTTCCTGAATTTGCCAACTTAATGAATTAAAGTCCACAGTATTGAAAACATTTTCTGAGGAGCTGTTTAGTAGTAGTTGGAAGAGAGAGCTTCAACTTAACCATAACTGGAATTTGTTTGCCAAGATGATTGCACTAGAAAATAAATCTTAAAATAGTTGTCTAAAATGGTCCAGCTTGCATATCCTGGCTGAATTCACGCTTAGAAATCACAAAATAGTTTGGGAAAAGAAACCATGTGCCTAATAACTAGGAATATAGAGCAAGAGATATTAAATAGAGAAATTTCAGAAATAGAATGCTTACTTAAAATTAATAGAAACAAGTATTTGGATTGACAACCAAATAAAGGAAACTAATGACTACTTAAATTTATATTTGTTTATATTATTTTAAAGGCTACTAGGAACAGTTCTCTTGCCTGTTATGTTAGTATTAACAATTTTCTAAAAAGGTTGATTGGAATGGATTGCTCTCTTCTCCTCTAAAAGGCAAGAGCGATCCCCTTTTCTTTTACCTCTGTTTAAAGGAGCAACAGTTTTACCCGAATAGTATTCACATGTGTTTATCTGGGGCACTGGGCTGCCTTACTGCAAATAGGAGGGGTGGCTTAATATAATATGTTAAGAAAAATTCACACATCATACAATCACACATTTTATTCTTTCTGGTAAGCAAAGTTAAACATCCCAGCCCAACATTTGCAAACCATTCTTTTAGCACAGGAAAATATTCCCTCAAATGCATACGTTAGCATCCCAAGTAGGTAGATAGAAGAAGAAACAAACCTGAAATAGATTTCTTCTGAAATAGAACTTGGTAGTTGACTCTTGATTTGGAAATTGTGTGTGTGTGTGTGTGTGTGTGTGTGTGTGTGTGTGTGTATCATGTTAAGGAGTTGAGCTGGTTCTAAAACTTCAGAAAGTAACTTTTCCAAACCTCAAGCCATACTGGACACTTCTGAATATCTCCTTTTAGACCTGTGAAAGATTTGCTGAGTCTCTGTGAACATACTGTCTTGCTATCTCCTACTTCTAAAGATTTCAACAGTGGTAAACATATTAGAGGAAATTTTTGCTCCTGATAGTTATCCAATAATTTTCTCCTCTGTATAAATGATATCCCACTTTCAAAATGTACTAGAATTATTAAAAGGTATTGTGATTTTAAGAAAATATTTTCCACCTGTCTAAATAAATCCATTGCCAATTGCACTTAATGTAAAGCTGTGTAGATTACTTTGAGCTATTCCAACATTTAAGAATTTCTCCTCAAAAATACTTTACTCCTAACATCTTCAGTTTTAGTCCCAGGAATGTATTGTATTGAGTAAATAATATTTGGTAATAAAATACATCTGTGTTCACACATCTATGAAACTCTTTTGAGTAGTAGCTATTTAATCCATATCACATAATTTTGATCACGAATTGCATAACTTTGGCATGTACTTTGCTGTAACTCATTTCTTGGCAACATATAAACTCTCTTTGATATAACATAGAATATCCAAACTGGGAATGAATGATAGAAACAATGCAGTGTAAATCAGTCTCTTCCCCTCCCTCCTTTCGTAGAGTAGGAAACTGAAGTGGGAGAAGATAAAGTTTGCCCAAAATCACACCTATCATTTTCCGACTTAAATTTAAGCTCTATTAAAATAATGACATACTTGTGATTTTAAACTTGATCTAAAGTTGATTTTAAGAGCATGATTCTTAAGACACAAAAATTGCTACCCTTAAGAAATTATGGTTGGACTTGAAGTACACAGAAGAGATAAGCTCCAAATTTTTGTCCTCAATTCACCTCTTGAGAGAAAGTGACTGAAATGATCTGATAACTTAAAATCATCATTCTTTGAGGGTTTCAAATAGTCCTGATAATTCAATATTCTTCTGCCACTGGTTCATATGATATTCTTGTTGATTGTCTTTCATTTATTGTAGTTGACCAAGAGATATAAGAAATAAATTCTAGGATACCATTGTGATATTTTTCCTCAGTTATAAAAAACTAGGAAAGAAAGAGACTTTTAATGTGTAAAGTTCACTGACCTGGTAAACTTAAAATCTGGGCTTCAGTTAAATCTAGTAGATTAACTCCTGTTTTGCTGTTATTTACAGTTTGTGGGGGTGTTGAACAAATGTACAAAATAATGATACTTCCAAAGGTTTGTATTTCATACAAATCTTGCATACTGTTTCAAACTATCAATTTTATAATTTTTAGATTTTAAAAGACATGTAGTAATTACCAGTACATGTGTCTCAGAAATGTTAAAAACACTTGGATATATATGCAAAATTTGTTGTGTCCTAATGAAAACAAATTCTAGTCTATGAAAATATTACATCAAGTTGTCTTGCACTTGGTAAGGAAATTATACACGAGTGATAGTAAATGTTTAAGATTTTCAGATAAAGACCCAGCAAATCAATTTAAATGAAGAGCTTAAGAAATAAACACAGCTATCTAAAATATTAATTTTTCACATAAATAGTCACACTTACTTTATTTGAAACCATGATCTTGTTTGAGGAAAACACTATAAAACTAAATTACACAATTCAACTTTTTTTTTAACTCTCCATCCTCCAAAACCATCCCATCTAATGAGGGTTTAACTATTTTACCTTCACTTTTTTTTTCTTTCAGCAATTACCAAGTGTGCAAACCTTTTCAATAGGTAAAAACAATTTCTTACAATGGAACACTAATTTTTTTCTTTCAAATTCTTTAGCTATGAAGCACCTCCATCTCCCTTGGATAACCCATGCATCCTGTCCTGCTTGGCATCTACAGCCCATTCTAGACTTATCTTGCTTTCAGCAGGTGCCAATAGCTCTTTGCTGAAAGCATTCAACATTGTTTACATTGTTAAGAAGCAATCGGAACTGCCTCCTTTCCTACTCACTGCCTCTTGCAGTGTCCTTAACTCTCACCACCCTTCTCTAAAATGTGCCCCCTACATGCCTATTTACATGATTCTCAGGCACCAGGGGTTGCACATGGATCACATACCACATCAGTTTCTAACATGGGAAGGCTGTTGGAGCAGAGCAATTTCTTTCCATTGGGAGTTGAGTGTAGTCATGTTTCTATCAACACAGCCACCCGACGCTTGTATGCAAAGATTAGACTATTGTCTCATGGTCCCACGTGCCTTGACTCTGATTGATGTAGCAACAGTATCTGTCATAGGGGCTGTTTTGCTTATAGGAGCAAACGATGATACTGTCCTGGGGCACAAAGAAGATGCTGTCCTCTGGCTCAGGGCAATCAGATCTGTCCCAGGCTGAGCCCTTGGCGTCCAAGGCACTGTAGGCGAGGGAACTGCCCGAGGGACAATAGCCATCCAGGTATCTGGACGTCTCCTCCCGACGCCCGCTCTGGACCAGGCTCTGGCATTCTCCTTCCTGCGTGGGTGTAGTGATGGAGCCGGCCATAGGCAGCTCACCCTGCCCCTGTGGGAGCGGCTTCCCTCTGAGGCCTGCCTTCTTAGCCAGCTCATCTGAGCTGCCCTTGCCTGACTCCAGATCCGAAGGGGTCCTCAGCAGTTCCACCACCTCTTTGTCCTTGGGTTTCCGGAAGCAGGGCAATTTGCGGACCCAGAGCAGCTCATTTTCTGGCCACTTGGTGCATCCCTCGGTTTTCCTAGCCAAGGCAATGGCTGCGATGCCTGGTAGGCAGATGGCTGGCCCGATGGCCAGGAGGGGGATGTTTCCCAGAGTCTCTCCCTTCATCCCAGAGACAGTGAACATGAAACCAAACACCAGGAAGACACTAACCAGGGCCACCACCAGCCCAGTCCTTGGATTAATGTCATCAGGCCGCATCTTTCACTCCATCCAGGTTGGGGGCTGCTTGCTGGCCGGGAGAAGAGTTCCTCTCTTCTGTCAGAGGTGAAACCACAGTGAGTTAAAAAAAAATTCAGTCCAAGTACCCATCCACCAACTCTGTCTCTTGCTGGTCTGGCTGTTTGTCTCTGCCTCTCTACTTGCCTTTCAATTCTGGTCTCTTATCTATCTTGCAATTTCTCTCTCTCTCTCTCTCTCTCTCTCTCTCTCTCTCTCTCTCTCTCCTCCTACCCCTCACTACCTCCCTCCCTCCCTCCCTCCTTTCCTATTGCAACCCTTGTCTGTCTCACATAAATATGCACCAATTGCTCCAAGGAGCAGTCGCGGGTCACCGAGTTACCTGAGGTTTCCTGCCACCTCCCGTAGGGACAGAGGAGTCTGAGTCTCCCTAGGAACCGTCGCAGCAGCTGGCCCTCGGTTCTTTGGGAGGAAAGCCTGGTTTCTCCCACTGACACTGCATCCAGGAGCTGGGACGTGGGAGAGTCCTTTCCCAGTCGGTCCCAGAGCTCAGCAAGCGGAGCCTGGGCGCCGCTGGGCGCCGACTCCGCGCTCAGAGGCAGAGGGCGCTGGAGCGAGGACTTCGCGCAGAAGGAGGGAAAACGGCGCGAGCTGGCCGGGTTGCATCACGTTCGCGTCCCAGCAGCTGGAAACAAAAACGGACGCGCGGGGGCGCGAGGGGGTGGAACCCCGGGGAGCGGCCGCCCGCTGAGGGGCTGTGCAAGATCTCTCCTCCGCCCGGGAGGCTGAGCAGGTGGCTGGACCCGCTTCTTTTATAGGGCGCCGAGAAGGGAACTCAGGCGGGTTTGCCCACGGGGCAGCGGTTGGCCTGTCCGCGTCTGGGTTCCAAGTTTTAGACGCCGGCTGGAGAGGTCCTCGGACATCCGCAACCTTCTCCAGTTACAAGTCCGAGCGATCCGACTGCCCGGACAGTAGCCCTGTTTGGGTTCGTCTCGACCTCGCGGCTCCTGGGTACCGAGGGCTCGGTGCCCCTCTTGGGACCCGGTGCCTGCGGACCGCTCAGGGCGCGCTGAAGCTGCCGTGACGTGGAGCTGGCTGCGCGCCCAGTCTGCGCGGGCCTGAGTTGGTTAGCGGTGACCCGCGGGTTCCCCGCTGTGTTGTGTGTTGGGTGAGGCACCAGAGTGCCTTCCCCCAGACCTGGCATAGGGTGGCCTCGGGACCTCAATCCCATTTGGATGCGGCTGTAGTTCCAGCCAGGCGGGCTGGGGCAAGGAAGAAGGGATCCTTTTCCCCTTCCTCCCCCTTCTCCAGCTAGTTAGGAGAAGGGGCCTTGACCTGAGGGGTTAGGTCTGCCACCTTGCCATACTGCTGGTGTAGAGAACCTAACACTTCTTCCCAGTTCGTGGTCCACAAGTTGTTCGGGTCACTCAGTCCCAGGGGCGAGACTGGGGATTTGGCTCTGATTCTTCAACAGGGCTACCCATTTAGGGTAGAGGTCGTGGGGAACAGAATAGTGAGGTGCATTCTTTCACTTCCAGGCGCTGCCTTGATGGAAAGAATTTTGACATCTGGACCTTCCCCACGTAAACTAGCTGTGTGTTCCTCCGGCAAGTGGCTTAATCTTTCTGCAAATCAGTAGGCCCAGCTGTAAAGTGAAAATATTACCACAAAATGTATGAGAGAATAGTGTGAAGATTAAATAAATATAAAGTTCCTAGCACAATGTGTTGGTGCATGGGTCTTGTTCAAAAAACGGTTGAAATATGTTCTTTTTCCTAGTGTGTCATCATGATCACTATTTTGTTCATCATGAAAAGACCTGTCTGTGGTACTAAGAACTTATGTCTTTATCCACTAGGCGAAGACCAGTGGAAGTATTTTTTTAATTAGGATATTCATTGTACAAGGGAGATTCCTGGTGACATTTCCAAATAGGCTTATATTGTGCATTGGTTAGATGGTCCCCACCATCTATCCCCTGTGGGGAGTGGATTATGAGAAGCCTATGACAACTCGACAAAGCACAGTTGTGTCAAATAATCCCAGGCTGAATTTGGCACAGCCAAGTGTGTGAAGGCAAAATGCAGCACAGCAGCTTTTCCTAAATTGTTTACATTCAGAGAAGCAGGATTGCAGGTTTCTCTTGTTACAATGTCACACTACTCCACCAGAACTGTTGCTCCACCTTCTTGTTTGTAAAAGACTCACTGAGGGTGGACGGGGAGGTTTGATGGGATTGAATTGGAAGATGGTTGGATTGGTGGGCTGCTTGCGAGAATGCTGCTGCTGCTGCTGGCTGTTGGGTATCTGCGAGTCTGAGGACCACGTCTTTAAGAGAGAACATGGAATAGTGCAAGTCTGAGGGCTAAGACTTTAAGAGAGATTAAGGAAAACACGGGACAATGTGAATCTAAGGAAAGAGACTTTAAAGAATAGAAAAGAAGCAAGGTTGTAAAGAATAATAAAGAAGTACGGCTTTAAAGAATAGAGAAGAAAAGAAGCAAAGTAAAAGAAGAGACTAATAGAGAAAAGAAGTAACGAGGCTGCTGTGCATCTCCATCCGAGTGCCGAGCACACCTGGCCCCAACTTTCTGCATGTCTATCTTCTATCGTTTGTCCTTTCTGCATCTCCAGTAGCCCCCAGTTAGGTTCGGTAGGAATAGAGCTCGAGAAAGCTCTGGAGATTCCCCCTCCTCCCCATGACACTTAAAGCAATTGCAAGCGGTTTCGTTGTTCTATTTCATATAGGAAGTCCATCAACCATATTCCCTCACCTTAATCTCTTTCATTCTCCCTCCCCTCCCACAAGTACCTCCCCTTACTGCACCCATTTTACAGTCCCGCTGTTTGTTATTAATTTCTAAGTCAATGTTCAAAGGGGTTTCTCAAAATATCCCTGCTGAGAGTATACTTTACTTTGGTCCCTTTGACGCCTTCCAGTGGAAGTATTTTAAGCTAAGATGGATACACAGACATTCAGTTTTTGACAGATAGTAAGAACAGGTGAGCAGACAGGTTGGGGGAGGGGAATCTGGAAGCAGGGAGACTTGTTAGGAGGGCAGGTCATAAGCCAGGCAAGACAGAATGTGTGCCTAGGAATATCAGGTTACTAGAAGTGATTAGAAGAAAGCTAATCTGAAGGCTTTTTAAGGGTTATTTGGAACACAAGGAAGGGAGAGGGAGGAGGAGCCAAGACTGATTCCCAAGTTTCTCACTCTTTCAGCTAGGTGGATCAGTAACCAGGTTCCTTGGTTTTCACTCCGTTATATAGTTTGAGTGTCTTCTGTACTCATGCAAATTATATAGCTGCTGCACCTTTGGGCACAGAATCATTTAAGAAGGAAGAAAGGAGAAAAGGCAGAGGACAAAAGTGATGCGCTAGTTGTTTGGTTCTTTGTATCAGGAAAATGATAGTTTTCCTAATAGGCATTTGCTTACAATTGGCCAGAAGGATATGATATGGGCTCAAATGAGCCTGGGAAAGCAAGTCTGGTTGCTTTACAGATCCATTGCAGCTCTGAAAGTAAATCAGGTGATTGTTAAGGAACAGGGAGAATGAATATAGGGAAGCAACTGGCTGCATGTATTCCAACTGTTGAACATTTTCCTTCCAATTTTCCTTTCCGCTCCTTCCTTTACTGACACCTATCTTGATTTTTCTCCATCTCCCTGGTTACTCATTTAAAGACACTTCCTAGACTTCTCTTTATTTTAATTTTTGGACAGACTTCTTAGATATCAATGTTCAGTTGGTTTGGTCCTTATTACTCCACTTTTCTGATTTTTCTTCCTCCTTGTTCTGTAATAGTTTCAAACAACCCTCATAGACTGACAACTCCTAAATCTCTTTAACTCATCCTCTTCCCTCAACTTCAGATCTATAACTGTTGTCTGTATGATATGGCTATCTGGATAGTGTATGGACTCAACATGACACAACTTGAACTCATTATATCTCCTCCAAACTTGTCCTTTCTCATTTCACCCCATCATTACTCCCATTTGCCAACCAAGAATATTTGGAATTGTCCTCTACTCTTTTCTTTCCCTAACAACCTACAACCAGTGAGTCACTCAGGTCATCATAATTTTACCTCCTAAATCACTTGATTATCCCCTGGTCTACTTGTGACCCAGTGGAAATCACATTACCTTCCTGGGCATTAACTTCTTAATGGAACAATGATTTTGGATGAGGAGCTACGTGATATCCATTTCAGCTCAAATGTTCCATGGGTCTCTGGCAGTCACTTCTGTAGGATTGAGCTGATGTCAGTGCCAATCCTACAGAATCCTACATGGGTGCTCCCAGCAGAGTGCTGGAAATGTAGTTGGATTCTAAAGAAAGCAAGGTTGCTGAGCAGAGGTCTCCTTTCATACAAACATCTAATTCCACTCTGACTTTTAAGCCAGGCAGTTCAGTACTTAGGCAATAGATAAGGCCCATGCATAAAACCACAGGAAACTTCAATTACTGCTTAATAATAAGCCTCTTTCTCCAAGCAGTTCCTTCTTGGAGGTAATTTCAATGGCCTTTGAACAGCAGGTATACTTGCCCAAGTCAGCAGCAATATTGGACAGAGGTGGGAGATATCACTCAGAGACAGATAAGGCACGCCTAGTATTTAATTTCTTGCCCATATGGGCCAATTGCACTAGCATTTGAAAACCTTAATCAGTTCTTACAATGCTGTAAGCATATACAACTGTGTTAAAAAGCCTTTCATTATAGAAGAAAATTCAGGCTGTAATGAGGCCTTGGCAGGTAGGTGTTTCAGAATGAAACACAGAACCCTTTATTTTTGAAATTATAGAAATCATGGCATGCTAGCATTTGAAGATACCTTGCAGATTATTTACCCCAATGCCCTATTGTACAAAGGAAATCCAGAAAAGTTTCATTCATTGATCACTACTTGAATGTTTATTATGTGTTTGGCACTGTGATAAGTACAAGTCAAATAAGACATGGTCTACTTTGATAGAACTAATATAGAACAGTGTGCATTAGTTGGAACAGGACAGATTATATGGTAGCAGCAAAAGATCTCCAGATCTCAAAGACTACATGC